GGTGGTTAGAGTGCAGTTCTGCAGGCTACTTCTGCTGACTGCTGGCTGCCTGCAATTTGGCAGTTCAAATCTCACCAGGCTCAAAGTTGACTCAGCCTTCAGCCTTCCGAGGTGGGTAAAATGAGGACCCAGATTGTTGGGGGCAAGAGGCTGACCATGTAAACTGCTTAGAGAGGGCGGTAAAGCACCGTGAAGCGGTATTTAAGTCGAAGTACTATTGCTATTGCTACATAACAGGAATCTTCTCAATTCAGCTGTGGTTCACCCAGACTATCTACCCAATGAGTTAAGAGTCTACTCCCAATCCAAATAAATTAGCACCACATAAATGGATTCTGAGAAGCACCATCCACTCCATTTTCGTGGCGAGGGAAAGAAGCATTGTTCCTGGTCTTCAGAAATCTCTTGTTTCAATTTTTTTCTCCCCTTCCTTTTCTTTTTCTTTTTCAGGTAACCAGTAAAGATGCAACTAAGATCAGCGTAAGTACCTATCAAAATGCATGCATGGATGGGTTTTTTTTGCCTGCATGGGGCTGTCTGTCTAAAATATTGCAGTGGTCCCTCGAGGTTAGATTTCTACCTGCCCTGAAAACTGACAAAGAGGCACCCAAAGGCAGCAGAAATAATTGAGCACGTTCGGAAACGAATGCCTTCCCTATCCATTCATTGCACGCTCGTTATCAATTAGCGGCGAGGCCGTTCTAGCCAGCTAATTGCACTGCTGATAGAGCAGAGTCTGTCTTTGGCATGTAGATAGGTGACAGTTTAAGGAAGTCCACCTTCCCCCTGAAGTCTGTTGATCCTCAGCTAGTAGAGAGACTAATTTGTCTTGGGGTTTCTCATCTCCTCAATTTCTAGTCTCAGCCTGTAATAGGGAAAGCCAATATATTTGGAAGCCACGCCCCGGGAGATGTTTAAAGGGAGATAAGCCACTGTTGTTGTGGTTGACCAGCAACCAGCAGCCAAGTCGGACAGTGAGGAGATTGGGGAGGATCATGAGCCAATCCTGGAGGCTGGGGAAGGCTCGGATGATGGCTCTGCATCAGAGGCAGAGATGGGGCCGAGGCCGTCTGGCAGTGATCAGGTGCCTATGGAGCTAGACAGCAGTGAGGCAGAGGAACAGCTGGAGCCTGTTCCCAGTGTGCGCATGCGCAGAGCTGCCAGAAGAAAAGAACAACAGAAATCGGGGTTGACTTGGGAGTAAAGCCACAAGTGGAAGGTGGTAAGCCCCTCCCATGGGAAGTAAAAGAGGAGCGAAAGGGGAGTGGGCTTTTGCAGGAAACAATTCGTTCATTCCGTCGTTAGATTCGTTTCAGGAGTGTGAAGATCTGTCCGTGAGTCTCAGAGACTCTGTGCCCAGACTTTCCTTGCACAGCACCTCATTTGGACAATATTTACCTGGCAGCTTTCCAAGAATAGATAAGGTCTGTAGTCATAAATATTCCTTTGAAAGACTGTTTGCCAGGCCT